CTTTATCCTAAGAATTAGCCTAATAAATCACTTTTCAACTGCCCTCATAGCAGGTATAAATGCAAGTATGTTTTAAATATGGGAACCAAAACTTGTACCTCAGGTGCAGCCTCACCAACACCCTGTGGAGTTTTAACAAGACTTCCCTTGTTTTAAACTCCAACCACCTAGTAATAAGGCCAAAATTCCATTTTCCTTCTTAATTTGTTACCAAATCTGCATGCTACATTTTTGTGTTTCATGCACAAGAACACCCAGATTCCTCTGCATTGCACTTTTGCGGAGTGTCTCTCCATTTACATAATAGTCTGTCTTCTGACTCTTCCTATCAAAATACATGACCTCACAGTTTCCTACATTAAACTCCATCTGAAAAGTTTTTACTCACACATTCAAACTATCTATATCCCTTGCAGATTTCTTGTCCTCATTGCAACACAACCTCCCAACAATTTTCAATACATTACACTCTGAATGGTGATACAAACTTTTGGTTTGGTTTTTTTTCTTCCCTGTTCCCCATTATCAATTCCCAAGTTGCACCCTCCAGCATCCCGTGCTTGTTTCAGCTACTCATTTTCTTTTCATATACCCATAGTAACTTTTGTTGTTTGTTCTTATATTTCCTGCCAATTTACTTTCATAATCAGTGTGATCCTTCTTTGTTAGTTTTTCAGTCCTCTGCTGCTGGTTCCTAAAAGCTTCCAATCCTCTGGTCTACCATTAATATTTGCCAGTTTGTATTCCTTTGCTTTGAATGGATACTCTCTTTGACTGTGTTTGTTAACTACAAGTAACTCATGAAGCTTTGATCAAGCTTTGTCTCCTCATGAGTTCCCCAATCTCGCCAAAGACAGTCTTCAGACAATTCAATTCATACAACTTGATGTAAATAAAGCGACTCAGTACATTAGATGCAACACCAAATACAAATTAAAAGCAGGAGTTGACTGTTTTGCTCTTGAGTCTGTTGCACCAACCAATATATAATCCTGGCTGATATAACTGTGACTCCCATTCCACATTCTAACCTACTAGCCATCTCTGCCTTAAAAAGATCAATGACTGAAATGTTCAATGTCTTATGGACTTATGAACTCTGACTCCATCACTCGCTTAGGAAAAGAATTCCAAAGACTTTCAATCTCCTGGAGGATGAAACTCACTTTTCCTTTCCAAATACTGTTAGGAACTTTTACTAACTGTTTTTATATGCCGAGCTATCAGTTCTGAGGAAGGGTCATCGGACCCGAAACGTTAACTCTGATTTTCTTTTCACAGATGCTGCCAGAATTGCTGAGCTTTTCCACCAACTTCTGTTTTTGTTTCTATCTTTCTCTTATGCTTTTAATTTCTCTTTCCACCTTATTAATCTTTCATTAATTCTTTGCTACTCTTTATATTCTGTCCAATCTGATTTGCCAGAACTACAGCGTTCTCTTTCAATTTTATACTATCGTTAACTTTCTCTGTTAGCCATGGTTGGCGCTACCTTCCCTGGGAGACTTTCATTCTTACAGAAATGTATCTCTTCTGAGTATTCTGACAATATCTCGCAAATGTTTGTCATTGCATCTCTATTGATCTATCCCATAACCTATTTTCATAGTTCACTTTAGCCACCTTTGTTTTCAATCCCTCTTAATCGTCATACTTAAGATTAAAATGTTAGCGTTAAATCAATTCTCTTACTCTCAAACTGAATGAGATATTCAATCATATGAGGATCACTGCTATCTAGGGGTAAATTTACTCGGAGGTCAGTAACTAAACCAATTTGGTTGACTCTTAACTGCTCACTAAAAAATCCTAGCAAGCCATTCAGTTGCATTAAAGACTGATGACAGGCTGCATTAACTCAAGAAGATAGCTCTGTACCACCTTTATAAGGACAAGTAGGAATACTGAATAAATGTTGGCCTCGGAAGTAACACCCGCATCTTTTGGATAAATTTTAAAAATGCGTACCCTCCACAGAATGAATATTAACTTGCATATTTTGTTGCAAGTGGTAATGCCAGCTCTTTGTTGCAAGTTATTGATTATTATCTATGTTAACTGTTATAAATCCTGTTACCACTGTAAATGAAAGGTGGAACTAATCTAACTGACGTCTCTTATTGACACCTGGGAGAATTCAATGTGGAGTAGTTTTAGCAGTGGTCATTTTCATATCCACTGTTTGTGCCATCTGCATATAAGCTGCAAGTTTAGTTTCAGGAGCCTGACACAGGTTATTGATTGCATTCCTAGAGAAGTACAGTTTTTGCTCACACTGCACTTTAGGTAACTAGTACATGTGAGACGTACTTGATTGGGCAATATCTTCAATGCCCTCAAATCATTTTGGCAGAAATGTTCTACTGATCTTGCTTCAGCTCCACCACGAGCATATTCAGCAAAAATTGAAGAGATGCCAATGCATATTGCTGTGACTATTGAGAATGCGTCCCTAACTACTTCTCTAAGACATTATCTGCTTTGTTTAGTTTCAACTCTTCTACTTCTGGTGCTTTACTTCTAGAAAATAGCTCCAAGTGTAAAATGAAGTAATCCCTGAAAAATGGGCATGTTGTCCATAAATTATTCATTAAGTTTAAAAAAGCTCTTTCAACAATAGCTCTGTATATTAACATCTGTTTACTCGCAGAAATAATTTTAGGCATATGGATAAAACAAAGCACAGCCCTCTTAATGATTTTGCACAAAATGACTGCACCTTTGCGTATAATCAGCATGTGCACTAGCTTTAACATTTGGGGGAAATTAACTGTTCAAGTATTGCTGATGTCACAAAATGAGGATGTGGATGCCACAAAATGGATAATATGGTTTCCTGTGGTATTTTAGAATTACATTTTACCCCACATTGAGAACAAGCAGCTGTACAGCAAAATATTGAGTACTTAATTCTGGAGCACATTACACCATTTGATTTCTGTCTGAGCAAAAATGTGCAGAATCTCCATTGTTTCCATTAGTTTTTGTTCTTTGCTTTATTTTTTTCAAACAATTGGAACTTTCAGGCTTCAGTCAAACTGTTGGTTTTTAGATATGTGATAAAACATTACCTCTTGCTTTACAGAAGTGATCTACTACAGACTCCTATGGCTAAAAATAGGATATCCTATTTTAGGTATGAGGCTTTTGCCCATCTTATTGTAGCAGGCAACAAACAAACCTTATGCTAACTCTTCATTTGAATAACTGTGTTCAACTGATCACGTGCTGGTGAACATTCAATGGGAAACCTTACACTGTGCTCAATGCTCAATGCATGCTATGCTCACTTTGAACAGAATGTCAGTGAAACGATGTCACCTATTGCAACTATCTCCGTTACACTTATATCCATGGTCACCAACGCACGCATTAGATTGGTCTTCTTGAGAGTGAACCCTTGGATAGCGACTGGCCTGGATGGAGTCCCTGGCCGTGCCCTCAGATCCTGTGCAGACCAGCTGGTGGGAGTATTGACAGACATCTTTGACCTCTCATTCCTATGATCTGAAGTCCCCAGCCCTGCTTCAAGAAGACTACAGTCATCCCAATGCCAAAGAGAGGTCATGCAGTGTGAATCAATGTCTACCGCCCTGTGGTTCTGGCCTCCATAATTATGAAGTGCTTTGAGAGGTTGGTCATGGCTCACATCAACTCCAGCCTCCCAGATTGCCTTGATCCTTTGCAATTCACCTACCGGCACAACAGATCTACAGCAGACACCATCTCCCTGGCCCTAGACTCATCCCTGGAACATGGGGATAATGAGGATACCTATGTCAGGCTCCTACTTAATGACTACAGTTTCACCTTCAACACCATGATTCCAAACAAACTCATCTCCAAACTCCGAGACCTGGGTCTTGGCTCCCCTCTCTGTAACTGAATCCTCAACTTTCTGACCCATAGACCACTATCAGTAGAAATAAGTAACAACACCTCCTCCACCATAATGGTCCTCACCAGTGCACCGCGAGGCTGTGTACTCAGCACCCCCTACTATACTCCTTATACACTCAAAACTCTGTTCCACCCTAACTCCATTTACAAGTTTGCTGACAACACCACTGTTGTAGTTCGGATCTCAAACAATGACAAGATGGAAATAGGAAAGAGATTGCACACTTAACAGCATGGTATAAAGACAATAATCTCTCCACCAAACCAGAAAAATGAAAGAACTGGTCATTGACTTCAAGAGGCGAAGTGGAGGGCACATCACTGTCTGCATCAATGGTCCTGAGGTGGAGACGGTCGAGAGCGTCAAGTTCCTGGGTGTGATGATCACCAACAATCTGTCCTGGTCCACCCAATTCGATGCAACGTTCAAGAAAGATCAACAACGTATCTATTTCCTCAGGAAGCTAAGGAAATTCGGCATGTCCACAAGGACTCCTGCAAATTTTTATAGATAAACCATAAAAAGCATCCTATTTGGGTGCATCACAGTGTGGTATAACAACTGCTCTTTCCAAGACGACAAGAAACTACAGAGTTATGAACATAGTCCAGTCCATCACACAAACCAGCCTTCCATCTATTGACTCCATCTACACTTCCTGCTGTCTTGTGAGATTAACCAAATTAATGAAAGACCCCTTCCATCCCAGTCATACTCTCTTCCACCCTCTTCCGTCAGGCAGAAGATAAAGAAGTTTGAACACATGCATAAATATATTCAAGAAAGCTTCTTTCCCACTGTTATCAGACTTTTGAATGGATGTCTCAAATGTTAATTTTGATCTGTCTCTCTGCACCTTCTTTGCAGCTGTGACACTGTATTCAGTACTGTGCTCTGCTACTCTGATGTGCTTTGTATGGTATGATCTGCCTGCATAGCATACAGAACAACACATTTCACTGAACCTTAGTACATATAGCAACAATATATCAATCAATTAGTCAATCAATGTATATGCGTAGCACATGTTTCAGCTAATCTGTACCTCTTAAAGTCAATCTGCCCACTTGAAGGGGAGGTGCACTCGGAATTTTGAAGACTGCTGCTGATCGCCTGTCACAAAGGCATGTGTAAGGGGAAAGGCTCAAGAGTAAGCAATGAGCAAGAATTAGGTCTTCTAGGTTCTCAGATTTTGTGCTGGGGGCCTTAGACAATGAGGTCAACTGGAGAAGGAACAGGTATTTCTGTGACCTTATAGAGGTTTATAAATTTATGGGGAGTATGGATAGGGTGAATAGCTGAAGTTTTTTTTTCCTAGGGTAAGGGAGTCCAAAACTAGAGGGCATAGGTTTAAGGTGAGAAGGGAAAGATTTAAAAAGGACCTAACAGGCAACGTTTTCATGCAGAGGGTGGTGTGTGTATGGAATGAGCTGCCAGAGGAAGTGGTGGAAACAGGCACAATTACAAAATTTAAAAGGCATCTGGATAAGTATATGAATAGGAAGGGTTTAGAGGGATATGGGTCAAATGCTGGCAAACGGAACTAGGTTTGTTTAGGATATCTCGTTGGTGTGGACAAATTGGCCCGAATGGTCTCTTTCTGTTTTTTTTTATTTATTCACGGGATGAGGGCATTGCTGGCCAGGCAGCATTTAATACCCATTCCTAATTGTCCATGGGCAGTTAAGAGTCAACCACATTGCTGTGGGTCTGGAGTCGCATGTAGGCCAGACCAGGTAAGGATGGCTGTTTTCTTCCCTAAAGGACATTAGTGAACTGTTTTCTGTGCTGTATAACTCTATGACTCTATGAGAATGGGGGAGGCTTCCAGGAAGTCTTCAAGGAATGCCTCTCAGAAGGGAATATGAAGGGTGGCCTAATAATCAGATTCTCACATTCACCTTTCTGTTTCCACGTATCTCCAGCCATTTTGCTAGTTAACTAGATTTGCAAGGGGCTCTTGTGGCACAATGGTAGTATCCCTGCCTTTGATACCAGAAGAACCAGGTTTAAGTCCCACCTGCGCCAGAGGTGTGTAATAACATCTCTGAACAGGTTGACCAGAAAACACTTTCAAAGAAAAACCCAGATTTGCATGGTTCAAGTTTGTAGATAAAGTGTCAAATAAGCCTGACAGACAGTTTGATGTCACAATCTTTTATTCTGAATCCCTCTAGTGTATTCAGGGTTTACCTGTTGTAGTGACCTTCCAAACATGTGGTGCTGTGTGATCTACACCAGAAATGGCTGGAAGCACTACATCTGCCATTTTACAGATCTATGAATTTAGTAGGGCTAGCTCTATATTACATGACCTTCAATAGTTTGGCATCAATTAAGTGAATATTGGTAATATATTAATCTTTCTGCATTTAATGCTGTTAAAATATAGTTACTTGACAACATTTCAGTTCATTGTTTTATATCTTCATTAGTTATGGTGGGAAGGTAGCACAACAGGCTGGCTAAAAACTAATATAAGATACTTACTCCCCCACCGAAGAATTGAATTCCTGAGGTAATTCAGGATAGGCAGGTGGAAATGTGAATCCATCTGTTGATGGCTTGTCTTTGTCTTGGAGAATATGATCTTTTATTTTCTTTGACTCTTTGTTCTCTCTTCTTTTTGCAGTGTCCTACTTATTGTGAGCTTGTTCTGTTTCAGGTTTCAGTTCGTACTGATTGATCTTGTGGTAACATTAATCTTTGCTTCTGCACTCTGATTCTTGTGCGTATTCTGACTCCACTGGCAGTGCTTGTTGAGGTGTTTTTATTGTTTGTTTATAATTATATTTGTGTAGATTAGATATACATTTATATGTGCATATGTTCTGAATTAAATCACTTTATTCCACTTGTAATACATGTTAGCATATTTCCAATTTCATTGCTCTTAGTGAATAAAATGATGCACTTTCTTTTACAACTGGAAACACAGAGGAACCATGTACTATAAAATTATATGCGTATCTGTTGATGTTTTAGAGGGAAGCTTGCAGGTCAGGATGTTCCCATGTGGCTGGTGCTTCTGTTCTTGTAGATGATAGGGTTTGTGGGTTTGGGATGTTGTGTGTGTACCTAAGTCTGTGTGTGTGCATGCATACAGTCCCAGAGAAAATAACAATGGAAGTTTCCAAATTGACCGTAATGGTCATCTGGATCAGGAGTATCTTCCCGGAAGAGAACCTTTCTTTCAATGCCATTATCCTGCTCCCTCCCAACCTTCCTCGACACCTTCAGCTTCTTGAAATATGTCTATTTATTTCTTAAATGTATTCAGTGACCCCCACCTCCTCAACATTCTGATGGTAGAAAATCCCATTGATTTACTATCCTTTGTGTGAAGAAATTTCTCCTCATCTCAGTCTGAAACGGCCTACCTGAGCCTTGACTGCCTGTTGTAGACATCCCCTCCCTCATCTGTACACCCCTGTCAGAATTTCATACATTTCAATAAGATCCCCTCTCATTCTTCTAAACTCCAGTGAACACAGGCCCAGTCAACATTAATCTTTCCTCATAAAACAAGCCTGATATCCCAGGAATCAGACTGGTGAATCTTCACTGTACTCCCTCAACTGAAAGTATATCTTTTCTTAAGTAAGGGGACTAGACAGAATACCCCAGACGTGGTCTCACCAAGACCTTGTACAGCAGTAGTAAGACTTCCTTGCTCCTGTACTCAAACCTTCTTGCGCTAAAGTAAACATACCATTTGCCTTCCTAAATGCTTGCTGCACCTGCATGGTTGCTTGCAATACCCAAGTCCATTTGGACATCAACCTTTGCTAAGATATCACCATTGAAATAACATTGTACCGTTCTGTTTTTACTACGGAAGTGGACAATTTGACATTGATCCACATTATACTGCATCTGCCGTGTGTTTGTCCGTTCATTCACATTGTCTAAATTGCTCTGAAATCCCTTGATATCTTCCTCACCTATGAGCAAATTGGGAAATAATACACTGGATTCTTTCATCCAAATCATATATACATAAATATATATTCTGAATAGCTGGGGCCCAATCACCAATCCCTGTGATATATCACTAGTCACTGCCTGCCATTAGGAAAATGACCCATTTGTTCCTATTGTTTCCTGGCTAGTAATCAATTCTTAATCCATGCTAGTATATTCCCACTCTTCACTTGTTGTTTTGCACACCAAACTCTTAAGTGAGATTTATTAAAAGCTTTCTGAAAGTACAAATAGGCCACATTCACTGGTTGTCTGTCATCTAGTCTACTAATTACATAATTTAAAAAACTCCAGTATGTTTGTCAAACATGATTTCTCTTTCACAAATCCATGTTAACTTTGTATTGTATCATTGGTATTTTACATCACCTGATACAACATCCTTGTAATAGAATCTCATATTTGCCAGCTCAACTGATATTAGTCTAACAGGTCTGTAATTCCTGATTTTCACCTACATTCTTTTTTTTTAAACCATGAAGTTACATTTGTCACTCTTCAATCTGCTGGAACTGTTCCAATGTCTAAAGAATTTTGGAAGATGGCAACAAGTGCATCCATTATTTCCATGGCCACCTCCTTTAGTCTGAGGAAGGGGCACCGGACCCAAAACTTTAACTCTGTTTTTTCCTTCACAGATGCTGCCAGACCTGCTGAGCTTTTCCGGCAACTGCTGTTTTTGTTCCTGATTCACAGCATCCTCAGTTCTTTTGGTCACTTCCTTTAGTTCCCTGGGATGTAGATTTTCAGGTTGTAGGAATTTTTCAGCTTTCAATCCCATTAATTTCTCCTGATTTTCTTTTTACTAATATTAATTTCCTCCAATGCCTCCTTCTGAAAAGATTCTTGCTTCTCTAGCACTTCCAAAAGTTTTTGAGTCTTTTGCTGAGAATTCAGACAAAGTATTTAAGTGTTCTGCCATTTCCTTATTCTCCGTTATCAATTCTCCAATTTCAGGTTGTAAGGAGTCTATATTTGTCTTCTGTAATCACTTTCTTTTGACTTATGGAACTCTTACAATCTGCTTTTATGTTCCTTTCTTAATCAACCTCTTGACCTTCCTTTGCTAAATTCTAAACTGTTCCAGTCCTTAGGCTTGCTACTTTTTTTTAGCAACTTTATATCACTCCTTTTCGATCTAATACTGTCCTTAATTAACCATCATTGGACTACTTTTCCCAGGTTTTATCTAGAAGAGAACATATGGGCCACTACACAGGCTGAACAGTTTTTAGTGGCAAAGTTTTCGTGCCTTCTCATAAATTGTTTGATTATGTGTAAACAATATGCCTTGTCTTTACTAGGGGTTAACGGTCCCACAGATTCCACCGGGAGTGCTTTTATTGGGAACCTTTAGCTGCAGCTAATTAGTTTTACATTTATAGTCATCCCTCTGTTATACTGGGCTTACATAATACACCTCTTGTAGTGCTTTGCAACATCCCATCCTGTGCTGGGCCACTACCAACATCATTCAACATATGCTACCAGGGCAGAGCACCCTAAGTGCTGATGTCTGGAGTAAAGCTAGAGTACAGCCCGCCATATCGCTTACCCATCCTTTCTCCATGTCCCATCCTACGCCTCAACTGCGTTCCTCTTTCTCCTATGGATTGCTATCTGCCTGTACGGCCTCTACACTCATTTCTTCTGCCTTTGCTTTACGTGCTGCTATCTCAACCTGTCATACATTCGCCATAGCAGCAGCTTTAGCTGCTATATCTGCCATTGGCTTCCTCTTCTGCACTCCTCTGTTTCATTTGATGTGATTTAACATAACCACTGTCTCAGCTAATCATCTGATCACTTCTTCATGTCATTTGGGTCTCCTACAGGACAACTTTCTGTTCCACACCACATATAATCACAGGTGACCCTAAAGTTACATCGACCGTTATACCCCAAAAGGTAACTATTATTAAACAGAATTTAACTGCACATTTCTATCTGAGAGCTTTATTTCAATGACCCACAATCAATAAACTCATAGTCCACTGATTACTAACTCCCCAAACTTATACAACCAATTAAAACCCAATTAACTCTTCATTAATATATCAAGCACTTGTTCCCTCATTTCATTAGATCTCAGGCATTCCTTTGGACCATATTAGATGGTAACATTGACCATCAGTATATATATTCACAGCATGGCCTTCTGCTAACTTCAAGGCTTCAGTGGGAGCTGTCAATTCAGTTACTTGAGCAGGCAATCCCCCAGGAGGCCTCCTTTAGCTAGGATTATTCCAACTTTACTACTACTCACCCTATTTTGGGGATCCCAGCCACATAAGAACACGGCCTATCCATGAAGAAAATGGGATCTGCCTTGCTCAAAGGGTCTTCAAGTATCCCACTAGGGTCTGTGGCATCTGGATCAACCAAATATCCTGCGTCCCTCTGACAAATAAAATGCCTTCAGTGGGATTGTTGCCTGTTTGGCTAATTATCTGCACTAATCGGCATCAGGGCAGCAGTACTACCTCCTGTGTCAGCTGCCTATTGATTATATCAATCTCCAGTCATTCAGTGTTTAACAGCTCTGCTATAATGTGTCTCCTGCATAGGATATCCCACCCTGTCACTTCAAAGGGCTCACTCACTCAGATGGTCCAGTTGGCACAATCTGTGATGGCCAGTGCCACGCACCATGGCATTCTGGAAACTACATGTGGCTTTTTGGTTGAAAGGCATGCTACCAGCCTTGCCCACTATCCATGTACTTTGGCAACAACAACGCTTTAAAATAAAAACTGTTGTTATTAGTAAATACATGCAATGACTTCCCAATAGCAGGTAATCCAAGGACAGGTTGTGAATGCTCATTTCAGACCCACATGCACCTCTTTTTGGTCTTCCTCCATTCACTAGGATCCAGGGTTGCTCACACCCCAACCCCTCACACTATGTTTGTCAGTCGGTGTATTTTATCAATTGCCTCTTTCAGATCTACAGGCATGATTCTTTTCTTTGTTCCATATTATGTCCCAAGTACTAAGCTTTCATCTGGCCCATCTGTGCCTTCTTGAGATGGACCGCTCTGGTTTGTTATCCGTGTGTGGTGGAGGCTCTAAGTGAACTGTCTATGTGTGGAATTGTGCTGTTGTTCAGGGTTAGGTCTAGTGCTACTATGACACCATTCATGACTTGGTGAAATATCACTGGCTGGTCTGGAATCCCTGTGGCATCCAACTCCACGTGTTTTATTTGCTATCAAAAGTGAAAGTGAATTTCTCCTGGATTCCTTGGCAAGGGATATTGCCCAGAACCCATTAGCTATATCCAACACTGTGAATGTTTGGTATCTGGGTCCTAATTCATTAGAAGTAGGGGCAGAGAGAGAGCAGCCCTCTGGGACCAGGGCAATTTTATGAAACTAGACACATATAAAAGTGGGGTCAACAGCTTGTGGGGAGAGTGTCTCCTTGATTGTGGTTTTTCTTTCACATATATACACAGTACAATCATGTCAGTTACTTAGGTTCTCAGTATCATATGAGTACAAACCACAGTGCTTTGCATTTCTTTATGGAACTAGATGAGTCTCTAGTTGACACATGTTACAGTGATCACATCCTTTGTAAGGCGAACCAATCCTCTGCTTTGCACATTTCACAGTGAATATTATCGGAGCAAATTACTGCAGGTCCGGGAATCTGTACTGAAAAGAAAAGTTGCTGGAGATCACAGCAGCTCAGGCAGCATCTATGGAGAGAAAGCAAGCTAGCAAAGCTCTGATGATGAGTCATCTAGATCGAAATGTTAGCTTGCTTTCTCTCCATGGATGTTGCCTGACCTGCTGTGATCCCCACCGTTTTTTGTTTTCATTGCAGTGATCATTCATCTCTTTGTGTTTTAAAACAAGTTTCCACTTCTATCTATGTGCAACAATAATTTTTTTACAAGGTGAAATGACTTTCTGCTTTAAAAATATTACTGAGGTCCTGTCACCGTTGTGATTTTAAACAGGTTTCCATTCTGTTTACAGATCTCGGTTTTATATGGCTGGCTAGTTACACCTTGTCACACCCTGCAGGAAGAAAATGCCCTTTGTGCGCTATGTGATTGAAAATGGTAAACCTTTATATAAAGACACAATATTGCTATTTCATTACATGTATTTAATAGAGGAAATTTCCTTCTATTTTGTTCTGCTGTAATGGAAAAATATATCATCTCATTTCTTCCTTCACACAAGAACACAGTCCGATAGTTACTGACACCCTTCTGACACTTTGTTGAAAGGTCCAGTCTTCATATTTCAACCTATAGTTATTATTGGGTAACTATTCGGTCATGAGAATAAAGCCAAGCTTGAATTTGTTGGCATCTGACATCCACATTCAGGTTGGGGTCATTGGAAAACAAGTAGAAATGAAAATAATTTATTCTTTCTTAGATCTGAAATACACTGAGGTAAATTCTTCCATTACTACCACTATCCTGTCATTATTACAATGCAACAAAATTATTTCCTAATAAGAAGTCATATTTATTAATGAAGTCACATGTACGCTGATATCGTACTCAGACAAATTTCTGCTCAATGTTATTTTAGTAGTCTGTTTTGGTGAAGAATTATTGTTTAACAAGGCTGTTAACTTGTGTACTAAGATAAACAGATTAATGACTTTGTTACAAGATGAGTATTTTGCACAAGTGTGCTACTCACTGTGCTAAACATAACACTTTACCATATTTCTTTTATAAATGTGTTAATAAATACAAAAATAAAATACTGTGAATGCTGGAAATCTGAATTAAAAATTGACAAGACTGGAAATACAAGGTTCTGATGAAAGGTTTACCGCTTCTCTCTTCACAGATGCTGCCAGATCCATTGAATATTTCCATATTTTCTGTTTTTTTACTTGATAAACTTAGAATTGTGCATTTATTTTCACATCATTGATGATCAAGGTAATTGTCTATTGTTACATATGATTAAAACTGTCAATCCATTCAGCAACTTTAAAAATATGCTCTGATGTTCACTAATTAGGAACTGTAAGATTAATGATAAACCAAAATGAGTGATATGTGTATTATGGTCAATGATTACTATATGTTACTATTTTACAGTTTATACTTTACTTTTCTTCATAAACTACACCCTGATAGGCTTAAGAAACTAAGATCATGATACTGATCAGAACTAAAACACTCGTGAACTTAAAGAAAGTATTGTTAAGATATTGCATTCTCTATTCCTAATTAAATACTTCAATAGCCTGTCAGACAAATTGATTGTAAGTAATTAAGAATGATCCACTTAGTGCAGTCTTGTTCCTGTGATTGTTTAATTCCCCAAGGTTTTGGCATCATGCTTCTCTTGCAGTTCAAGGTATCTAGACGGTGTCATATATCATAATGTCACATTACATTGTTATGGCTTTAAAGCAGCAATTTAAAATAGACTAACATGTAGATTACAATGCAATTTTATGCGATTATATAGATATAAAAAGAGATAAATATGTTTGAGAATAGGAAAATGGAGAACACAGGTATGCCAAAAGAGACATTTGCCATGATGGTAGCAAATTAGCTCATGGCATTATAATTAAGCAGCAATGTGTAAACAGGGCCATTAGATACAACACACTGATATTAAGGTACACTCATAATTCTGTGCATTATGCATACATTTGTGAGACCAGAGCACACAAGTGACATGTACGGAATCAAATGGGATTCAAATACACTCTGGCTGCTTCAATTTTAGCAGCATTGATGGTTTGTGACTCAAGGCAGAATACTATGACATTGACACATTTCATACTAGTTCTGAAACTCCTTTCCAGACCTTTTTATTTGAAGAGCATTTTTGGATTGCAGTACAATCTTCACATATTCTTAAATTATTCATGCAATTTTACATTACACTGCTGGTTTCTATTTGTCTAGTCTTGTATGCTTTATTGCAAATGTTCTGAGTAATACATTAACAGAATTATATGGTACAGATATTTATTTTCTTAATCTGTTTACTGTGGTAGTAAAAGATGAGTTGTGTTGCATAGCATTATCAAAATAAAAAATGTGTTTCTTTACATTGCATTTAAACATGAAAGAAATAATAGGTTAAATGCATTGTTTGAGTGTTTGCAACAATCATGATTTCATGGGTTACCTTCTGTTAGGTCTACAAGACTCAATGACAAACCCATAGAAGAGAATTTACAAATGTTATTGGTGAAATTTATTTTGTCACCTTTTGGATTACTATATTAAACACTTCTTCAATTGAATTGAATTTGTAATAAATTAATTTTTTGGAAGGTATGACACCACTGAGTGTTGCAATTAAAATGTTTGTTGAAAATGTATAAGGTCATAAATCAAGAATTTATCATCCTTGCTAAGCCTAGATAAGTTTTGCATCTAACCATTCACCGAGATTGGTAGTGTAATATGTAGTCAGTCACAAAGTCAGTCACAAGTATAGATATCAATTAATGCAATTAACAATCAAGAGGTTAGTGTAAAGAGGTAAAATTTAATTAACAAGTATCGTTCCAAACACATCAGAACCAACAGTAAGTATAAAAACTATAATAAAAGCAGAAAATACTGTAAATACTCAGCATTAAGGGTAAAGGGGCATTGACCTGAAATGTTAGCTCTGTTTCTGCCTCCTCAGATGTTGCCAGACCTGCTGAGCATTTTCTCTTTTAATTTCCCAGAATTCTCAGATTTTTGCTATTTGATTAGAAGTTCAAAAACTGTTCACTGTCAGCTGACATTGAGGTAATACAGCAGGATCAAAATAAATGCAGAATTCCCTTCCTATAATTGTTATGTTCATTCTGCATATCTTAACATTTTAAATATATATCATTCAGGCCAACTAAGTAGGAAATATTATGGGAGCTAAATATGAGATTTAAGATTTATCATTTGGATCATTATGTCCATTACACTAACTATTCTAAATAGTATCTCCTTTTATCTGTCAGTTTGTATTTTTAAAACAACTTTCATTTCCATAGTGTCTTTTACCATAAAATTCTGATACATGGCACAAGAAATGTAAACTCCACAGAGGCCGGTATCCCATCACCAAGTCACCCTTTATTTACACGTGAAGAGGGCTTGACACTAATTGAGCTCCCTCAGAGGCAGTTCTCAGAGTGAGCAGAACCTTTGACATTACTGTTTATATCTGTCAGCCAGGACTACCAGATTGGACCAGATTAACAGCCCCAATGAAGGAACTCATATTCCATGAGGTCCATCTGGCTGACCTTGTTACAATCATTACAAAGCTAAAGAAGAAAATATTAAATGGTCTACTTAAATCTTTGTAAGAGTTAGGTTTTGAAGAGGGTCTTAAAAGAGACATCAGAGGAGATGAGGTGACTTAGGGAGGGAATTACATAGTCTGGGACCTGGGTTACTGTAGACATGGACACTAATGGTAGAGTCAAAGAACTGCAGAGATTAGAAGCTGAGAAATGCAGAGTTGTCAGGGAGGAGGGAGAACAGTGGTACTGTGGTAATGGTACTGGATTAATCCAGAGCCCCAGACTAATGTCCTGGAGACAAGAAACAGTTTATTGAACATTCTGAGTGGATATTCTCTTGTTGAAAACCCTTTTTTTCCCTCTTCCACCAGCTATCCTATTCGGCAGGCCTCAATTCATTCTCCAAATCATGCTGTATTCCAAGAAGCAGGCCTATTAATGCACCTATGCCTGGGGACATCTTGATTGTGTAAAAGCCATGAAGTCAGCATAAAGTCCTTCAGCATTTTCCACACCACCTCCAGTAGAATTTTGCAACCGGAAGCAACTATAAAAAACATTAAATGACCAAGAATTGTAGCAACAGCCAGAAGAAATCAGTTAGTACGTAATGTGTTTGGAATTTATAATCCTTTTAAATAGCACTGGTAGGAAAATGCATGTTTGGCTTTGTGAAGTTAAGTGCAGCTATTGGCTGAAGCATTGAACTGCAAATTTTCTTGATCTACCTGCTCTGTGTAATTCCATTTGATATTTACTTTGTGCCACTAATGCTTGCATTAAATGGCATACAACATAATTTGTTCTACCTTTGCACACCCTCATATATCATAAATACCATTTTGGAGCTCTAAGGAAATTTGTAGCTCCCCCCTCAAAAAAAAACTCATTAACCCAATTTCTTGCTAAGGCTATGAGTAGAGAAATCCCACCTCATACTAAATAGTGGGCTGTTCCCAAAAAAATTAAAGTGACGTAAGCCAGCCAAGCTAGGAGTGTGGGGAGCCTACCTGAAGCATATAATCCAGCACTTAGTGGTCAACACTAGAAACAACCCGTTAGAATATATTTATCATTTAAAAATAACTGTCCATTGTTTATACCAGGAATTAAATCTTCAGGAACCTGCTTTTCTAAAATTATTTGAGGCTGACGCTTTTTCTCTGAGGTTTGCGCTGTCCAGTGACCTCTGAAAATCTGCTCTTATTTATCTACAAATTGTCTGCTAATCTTGAATAGTAGAGTCAGCTAAAATAAGTTAAGCCCTGTACTTGAGGGCAAACAGCTTTCAACGGGATCTGGTGTCCAATAGACTTGGATAGACTTAGAAGAGGTCTAGTGAAGCAGATATTAGAAATTGTGGACAATTAAATCAAAAACTTAGCCAATATAAAGCAAGCTTCTGCTACTTTGCTTATATTCATCTCAATCTCTGAGGTATAATGAGTTATCCCCTACTGCTACAATGATGTTGTAATAGCTCATTTTCTATTGGCAAGATAATTATGTTCTAACTGCTTCAAATTAATTTACTTTGTGGCACACCTGATTGCATTATAATTGCAAGCTACTATTTCATATCTATTGTGAAATTCTGTTTTTTATGATTGTTTTTAAATGTTGCATGTCACTAACCATCGTTCAGGCCAGTGGTAATAAAAATTGTTAGTGTCAGTATTGGCTCAGGTACTAACATTCGAGTTTGAGGATCCCATTTCAATTTCCATTTGAACTCAAAAATCTAGGCTGAGGGTGTGTTGAGCTTTTGAAGTTGCTGCCTGAGAATATATTAAATTGGTGCCACATCAGGTGGATTTAAAAGATCTCATCATACTCTTTTGAAAAACAGAATGGGAGCTTCCCCACTGTCCTGATCAGGGATCAAAGTAATCTTTCTTTTTTTGAGGGCTTCTCTTGAAATGTTCTCAAAGCTTCCATTTTGGTTTTTAGGTTTTTGGTCATTACTTTTTCACTCACACTCAGTCATTTTTAAAGAGATGCTGCCACACAGTAATAATTTCTTCTGTATTTGTGTTGACATGGGATATTTGGGTTCCTACATAAGCAGAATTATAAGTTTTTTTTTAATATCCTCATTAATTGTCATGTCTCCATCACACTTAGACGTACAACACAAGGAAAGTATTAATTTTCTAGACAGTATTTAAATTGGTACAAGTGAACCGAAGTTTATCTTTCAAAATAAATGACATACACATCTACGTATAAAGTGCCAACACCCCAGAACACCTAGTTTTAGAAAGATGTATCCTCATGTGGGCAATTTAGAATGAGAGGTCACAGTTTTAGGATAAAGGGTACAGATTTAAACAGAGATGAGAAGAACTTACTTCTCTCAAAAGATTTATGAATGTGTGGAATTCAACATTGAGTAAATTTAAGAAGGAGATAGATTTTTAATTAGTAATAAATTGAAGAGCCATGGAGAATAGGCAGGAAAATTGAATTGAGGCCAAAATGAGATCAGCCGTGATCCTATAAAATGGCAGGCTTGAGGGGCTGAATTGCCTATCCCAGCTCCGTGTTCTTATGTTCTTATGTTCAAATCACACCTTCTGCAGATAGGTAAGGTCACAGCTAATGCATTTTCATTACACAGCACAAAGCTGTAGAAGTTTAAAAGGGAGTTACAACCCTACAACTGTAGCTCAGATCTCAACCTCAGATTTAAATTTAACAATCAACAGTGTTCATTATTATAGGATCCATGACATTTTTTCCCAAGTTTGGTAGTTCCTTAACTTGCAGAACCCTAAACTAAACATTCCCCATTCATTTGCTAGGAATTCATTACTTCAGTGATTTGAATTATGTTGGATCTCAGTTAGCTGTGTATTCCTTTGTTTTCTTGTTTTAAACTGTTCTATCTCCTTTGCAGTCTCCCTCCCCGACTCTTATAGTCTCCTTCTGTATCCTTACACCTTCTGCAGCCTCTTTCTCTCACCATTTCATTCTTGCATCCCAATCTCTTCACAGCCTCCTTGACCACCTCACACCCCTCATTCAACCTCACTGAATCTTGTATCTCCCTCACCAAACCTTCCTGAAACTGCTGTCCTCTGGCTGATGTCCCCCTCCTGGACCCAGCATTGAAATGCCCTGGTCAAACAAAAAGCCTTTCCAGACCCAGCAAAAGGCTTGTCGTCCACCTTCACCCGAGTCCTCACCCTTTGGCTCCAGTTCACTGCTCCCAGCTTGTGGATAAAGGAGCTCCCTCAGCCACTCCCTCCATGACTTGCATAACTGCTCACTATTCTTCGAAACAAGGACTGCATCTCTCCTGTGTTCATTTTTGATCCTATCAGCAGTATGTGCAGGAGAGAACCAGCCTGTAACTGAAGGAAGTTCTGGGGAAGAGTCACTCAACCTGAAACATTACCTCTGATTTCTCTCCATAGATGTTGCCAAGGCCTGCTGAACTTTGCCAATAATTTTTGTTTTTGTTACTGAAGGATCAGCTCCTTGTCATTTCCTTCCATCCTATTTACATAGTGAGAGCAAATTTTCTCTGTTTGATCCTCTCTGCAAGTGGATTTTCCTGAACATTTTGGGGAGTCTGGGGGTGGGAGGGGATGCAGATCTACTTGTCACCCCAATTTTCAACCATCACCTGCTGCCTTCTGTTACTAAGACAATAATGGATCCAATTTGCCAAATTGCCCTAGGGCCTATGGGTCCTTACCTTCTCCTGTGCACACCTTATCAAAAACCTTATTAAAGTTCATGTCGACTACATCAGCTACACTACCCTTATCTTCACACTTGGTTACATCCTCAAAAAACTCAATCATTTCTGTCAGACAAGATTTCCCCTTGACAAAGCTGTGCTAACTATTTTTCATTAATCCTTGCCTTTCCATGTGGAGATTAATTCTGTCTCACAGAATTGTTTCCAAAATTTTCCCTACCACTGATGTTAGAATCACTGGTCCATAGCTCCCTGGTTTATCCTTTCTTGAATAATGGTGCTACATTAGCTGTTCTCTGATCATCTAGCACCTCACCTGAACCCAGAGGGAATCTGAAAATGAGGTTGGTATGAATAACGGGGAGTTCCAAACCTTTGTATACAGAAAAAGCAACCCATACAGATCAAATCCTCAACTTCCACAGCAACCACCCCAACATCCACAAACAAAGTTACATTAGGACACTACTTAAAAGGGCCAGAAAACACTGCAACACTCCAGAACTACACAGCTATACAAAATCCTCACTATAAACAGATATCCCCGCAACTTCATCTGCAGATGCCTACTAAACAAACAACAACAGGAGGACACAGTACGTCCTAACACACTGGTCACACTGCCCTACATCAAGAACATATCAGAACTGACAACAAGGCTCCTAAGACCACTAAGAACCATGGTGGCCCACAAGCCCACAGCCACTCTATGACAAACACTTACAACGATTAAAGACCCCATTCCCACAAAATGCAGAACCAAAGTGGTTTACAAAATCCTATGCAATGACTGCCACAAACATTACATTGGACAGACAGGGAGGAAACTAGCCATCAGAGTACATGAACATCAACTAGCAGCAAAATGGCATGACAAACTCTCCTTAATATCGGTACACTCGGACAATGAAGGCCATCAGTTTATCTGGGACAAGGCAACCATAGTAGCCCAAGCCAAACATAGACATCCACAGGAATTCCTAGAGGCATGGTTCTCCACCCTTAATGCAACAACAAACACGTAGAATTGGACCCCATACACAAACCCATACAGATCAAAACCGGAAATGACACTACTCACCATACTGAGCCAGACAGTATAAATTCCAAGCGAAGTAGAAGAACACCGCCTCATCAAAGGCTCCACTGATGATGTCACCTAGCATGGTGATGAAATGTCTGAACGAGAACAAGCCAGCTCAATGAGCAAGTCAGCTACATCACCCACAACCCAAGCTACAGATCTTTACCAACATTTTAAGAATCTGAAAATTGTAAGGGCCCCTTGCCTTCCACAGCAACTTGGGATATGTCTCAGCAGGGCCTGTGGATTTATCTACCTTAAATGGTAGACCCCTGGGAAATGCAGAGGTTCAGAGGGACCTTGGTATGCATGTGCGCAGATCATTGAAAGCAAGAGGATGGATGGATAAAGCTGTTAAGAAGACATATGGATACTCACCCCTTACTAGTCAATACAAGAGCAAAGAGGTTATGATGAAGCTATAAAGTACATTAGTTAGATTCCCCCTGCTGGAGGTGCACAATTCTGGTCACCACACTATAAGCAGGATGCAATTGCAATAGAGAGTCTAGGACATTGCCTGAGCTGAGTGCTTCAGCTGTGAAGAGAGACTAGATAGTTTGAAGCTGTTTTGCTAAGAGCAGAGATGGCTGAGTGAGGAACTGATTGAGATGAAAATCAGTGTGGTTTCTTGGTGACTCTAGCTGTCTGCTTGCTCCTCTGGTCCTCCATGTTGGACACCAACATCTCAGGGCACACTGCCCCTGTCCAAAGAGGTCGACAGTGGACGTGTACTAGCCTCACCACTGCCTCATGATGCACCACTGATCGATTTGAAAGATGGATCAGTTCTTCAATGCTGAACTTTGAACACACCAGCATCTTTCATTGTAACGCTGCTTCCAGGACACTTTGCACAGGAGGATTGGGACCACCTAATCGATTGGACCAACGTGCATGCCAGGTCTCTTCATTTGTTGTCTCAATGATCACTCACTTTGTGCCTGTTTGGCTGTTCATATCTTGCTTTTTATTTTTGCATGTTAGAATAGAACCATAGAACTCCTACAGTTTGGAAGAAGGCCATTCAGCCCATCGAGTCCACAACGACCATTTGAAGAGCATCCCATCCAGACCCACCCTGCTACCCTATCCCTGTAACCCTTCATTTCCCATGGCTAACCCACCTAGCCTACACATCCCTGGTCACTATGGGCAATTTAGCATGGCCAATCCACCTAACCTGCACATCTTTGGACTGTGGGAGGAAAGCGGAGCACCCAGAGGAAACCCACGCAGACACAAGGAGAATGTGCAAACTCCACATAGACAGTCACCTGATGCTGGAATCGGACCCGGGTCCCTGGCAATGTGAGGCAGCAGTGCTAACCACTGAGCCACTGTGCTGTCCAACTTGTGTTGCCCTATCAAGCAGAGCTTAAAGGCTCACAGTACCTCTGTCTTGCCTTGGCTTTTAGGGTAGACTAAAAGCCAGCCACCCGTCATGGTTGTCAGCGGTGATTAGTTGAAGGGGGCGGACATGTTACTGTTCAGACCTGTGCTACATCAATGTCACACTTGCATCATGTACCCGCAGAGTAAGTAACAAACACACTGCAGATGCATCAACCAAATGGCAATGTCTCAAAGTCTATGGAGAGTAGTTCTCAGTCAAGTCAATAGAGGAAGCCTTCAGTCTGGGGTTTCTTGCACAATAAATCAAGTGTATCATCCACTCTCAGGCCAGCAAGTCCAGGTCAAGCAGATGCTGAACATGAAGAGATCAAGCTGAAGGATCCC